TTTCTTAATGGTCTACCCTAGATGTTTTAGGTGATCTAAAAAAAAAATCAGACTTCTTTATTTTTTATTTTTTTTTCTATAGGTATAGCAAAATTATAGTATATATATAGTATACATATAGTATATCAATACATATACTAAAAAAATATTATAGAAAAATTCATTTTTTTTCTCTAAAACTTTATTTTATTAGAATATATAAGACATATAGTGAAGGTAATACAAAATAAGATAAAATAAAAAAAAAATGCTTTTTCCTATAATAAATTCTACTTTAGAAAGTGATCCAGTAAAATTTTTATCTTAGGAGACTTAAAAAATAGTATACATATATCACACAAATAGTATACATATGTATTATAGGATAAATTTTGAATTTTTTTTTAGAACTTTATTTTACTAAGAACACTAGTGATACAGAAAAAAAGCTCATGACAGAACTAGTGATACAGACTATAAATTCTTTAGGAACTCTAAACTGAAATAAAGTTTTCTTGATGAGTGTCACTGGTGATACTACTATCACTAGAAAAAATCTGAATTTCTTAACTTTTTTTTTATTTTTTAACATATATATATCACACATATACTATAGATTCATCATATTATATTTCATATAGACCATAGAAATAATATAGAAAAATTTTGATTTTTTTCCTAGAAATTACTACTTTTTACTAGTGACACTAGTGATACTAATCAAAAAAGAAATAAAATAGCCTAATACTATAAGTTGACCCTAATGATTTATCAAAAATTTGGCCTTATGAAAAATTTATAGAGATAGCAAAAAGACTTAATAAGAACATCAATAGTATACCAAATCATCAATTTTAGAACTCTAGAAAGGCATTTTTACTACTTGTTCCTATATTCCTATGAGTTTTTATGAATTTCTGAACTCTTTACTTTTTTTTATTTTTTTTATACCATATATTGACCATATACCAATTATATCAACTATATATATGACTATATTTAACCATAAGAATATCATAGAAAAATCAAATTTTTTTTCTAGAAATTTTATATTTTATATGGACTTATAGAGATATAGGAACAAGTAGTAAAGAATTTAATAAATCAGATTAAGTAATCTAAAAAATGATATTGAGATTATTCTTATGAGTACCCCTATAAATTTTTCTTATAAGAATGAAAAATTTTCATAAGGATGCTCAAAAAAATAACATACTTATTGCCTTAATCTAGATAAACCATGATTGGATCTCAGAAGTATTTATAACATTCTACTATTATATCAGCAATTAATAAGTAATAGTTAAGTTGTAAAATAGTATACTTTTAATAATCAAATAGGTTTAGACTAAGATAATATATATTGTATCTTTAATTTCAAGATGCAAAATCAACATACATATATTAGCAAATAATAGGTAATAGTTAGATTGCGAAATGGTATACTTCTAGTAATCAAATAGGTTAACTATAGAAATGCATATCATACTTAACTAACTAAAGCTCTGAATAGTTCAGATTAATCTGAAGATTTTTTGGATTAGTTTAGTTCAGATCAGTTTCAGATTGCATAAAAATTGTTCTGAAAATTTTCAGTTCAGTTCAGATTTTTTTCGGATTATAATTCTAATCCGAACTGAAAAAAATCTGAACTGAATTGATAATTTCAGATTAATCTGAAAGTTCTGTTCGATTATATGCGAAACTTTTAGAGGATCGCAAAAATTTAGTGAAACTTTTAAAGAATTGCAATTTTTTGCGATTTTTCTTTGAATTTTGCGAAAACCTTGGAGAATCGCAATTTTTTGCGATTTCTCTAGAATTTCGCAAAATTATCGCAAAACTCTTAGAGAGTTGCAAATAATTGCGATTTCTCTTCAAATTTTGCGAACTTCGAAGAGAAATTCGTGATTTTTTGCGATTCTCTTAGAGTTTCGCATATAAATTGTGGATTTCTTATATAATCAAACCGTAATTTTAGATTAATCTAAAAATTCTGGTTCAGTTCAGATTTTACCAATCTGCGGTTCAGTTCGAATTCAGATTGGCATTTTTAAGATTAATAATTTGAACTGAACTGAACTGAAATTTTCAGTTCAGATACGGATTAGCATCTAATCCAGATTGAACTGAACTGTTTAGAACTTTATAACTAATTGAATTTGCTAGATTATATGGCAGAAAGTATTTAGTGTTATAACAAGATCACGTAACTGATGCAGTAGAATGCAATATAAATTCAGCCAGCATTATTTCACAATTTCAGTCAGATTTTTAGACATAATAACTCAGCATTCAAGCTAGCCTGAAATTAACAAACTAATAGAAATACTCTAGTTTCCTGCCAGTTCTATGATAGTTCCAGAATACTATCAAGTTACCATCATGATACCAAGCTGGATCCTCAAATCATATACCCTAAAAATCAGTCTAAATTATGTTATAGTACCAGCCAAATTTAAATGCGAATTTACATCAAATTATTACATCACCTAATATGATATTTATTTTACTGTATTTTAATATTTAGAATGGTAATCAAATAGGCTATATCCTCATATAGAACTAGCATCCAAATTGACATAGAAGGTCATCATCTCCAATATAAAAGTTGATTCAAAAATAGGTAGAGATAAGTATAAATAAGAAGATATCAAATTGGTAATGAAAGGCTGTAGAACATAATCAACGTAAATTATATCAGAAAGTATTTATAATACCGTAAATACTAATAAAAATAGGTGCATTTAGATTATTTAGTTATAGTCATAATTAGATTATTTAATTACATAATCACAAATGATAAATGGGAAACGGAAAAAGAATTTAATTTCAAAGGTAAGAAATATAATAAGAAAAGTAGGTAGGTATAAAAATTATCACAATTAGATTATTTAATTAGATTATATAATCATAATTAGATTATTAACTTTAGATTATTTAGTTATATTTAGTTTATTTAATAATATTTAGTTTATTTAGTTATACTTAGATTATTTATTACTAAATAACTTAATCTAGGCTATTTATAACTAAATAATATAATTATATTATTTAATCATAAATGGCTTTATGCATTATTAATATCAAATAGTTAGTTTATTCAGGCTGAAACAATAAGCTATATAATTTAAACATAAAGATAAACTTAAAAATAAATACAACAGATAATAATTCTTTTTAATTACATGTAATTTTTATTAAACTAATTTTCTTTTTTTTTAATTTTACCATATTGACACCAATTTTATTTTTTTATTAGGCTATTTCAAATTCACCAAAAGATATATTTTAGAGGATTTATTCAATACTTATATAATTAACCTGATTAACTGATTACAAATTTTAATTTTTCAAAAATTCATAAATTATGACATATTTTCTTTATTAATAAAAAAGTAAATATTTCACAGTATTGTATGATAATATTACGCATTTTTGCATATATTTAATTTGATTAACTATAATCTTATATATTATTATTTTTTTATGATAATGTTAATATTATCAAATATTAAATTCATATTAGACTTATATAATAATGTTGATATATAGATTTATTAATTATAGATACAGTTTCAATTTTTTATCACAAATTAATTATTTTAATAATTTCAAATTAGTAATTCAAAATAATAGAATATATTATTATATTTAAATACAATCTGAAATAATTTTATTTTTACTAAAAAGGTTTGTAAAGATGACTTAAAGTAACAATATAGAAAAGGATTTAATATTATAAAAACTCTTAATTTGACTATTGTTAATAAGTAGAATAGAAGAACTTTATGAAATTCATTTAAAGTTAACCAAGAAAATGGAAGTTAAAATTATTGGAAAAATTAATAATAATAATATTATTATTGAGTTTGCATCTACTATTAATAATTTTATTGGTATCAAAACAAAAGGTCAAAAACCTAAAATTTAGTTATATAAACATAGATTATAAGAATAAAAAAAAAAAAGGTAGCTGAATCTGATCTAAACAATAAAGAAATATTATTAATAATAAAATTCTACATAGAAAGCTTCAAAAAAATACTTTAAGATAATAAATCAAATATGATAAAACTAGTAATAAGAGAATGTGTAATATGTAATAAAAATTACACAATTTATGAATATGTTCAGCAAAAGAAAAGATCATTATCAGTTAATTTTAAGATAATATTAACAAATTTATATATATCATATTAAAATTTATAATATATTATAATATAGTATAGTAATTGATATTGCATATTTATTTTATTAAATTAAAAAATCATGTGTTAAATTATTTTATTCTGTATTTATATTGGTTGATTATCAGTGATGTTAAACACCACTGGTGTGATTTAACAATGTCAATTATTAATAGCCTTTCGCATAAATTTATTATCTTATACTAAAAATAAATTTAAAATTTCGGGGTTAATAAATAAGGTAATGTTATGTTTATCAGTGAATTTCTCAAAAAAGTGAGATATTTCCGGTGGTACATTTTGCTAGTCCAATGACCCATATAGGTTTCCCTTTATGATCTTCGATTTATCATAATTGCTATTCGCATAAATTAATAAAGTAAATCGACAAAATAATTAAAGGATTCTTTTATCACATCTAGATATAAAAAAGAATTTTTTGCTAAAATTAGTATTGTTTTATTTTAAATTTCTATTGTTCAAAAAAAAAAAAACATTGGGCCTGAACCTTTGTTTTAATATATGCAAACACAAAATCAAAAATCTCCTCCTTTAAGAATAAATTCTCACCCTTCGACATCACAGCATTCTAAGTTCTAACACATTACGGAGTTGGACTTTTTTAATACTAGAACAAAAATCATCAGAGCTATGATCTGTCATGAAAAACCGGAATGATAAAAAACCGTAGTTTAAACCTAAATAATTAATTTATTAAACTTTGGGTCAGCAAAAATAAAAAATCATTATAAATAAACCATGAAAAACAAGATAAAAAAATCATACCGCAACTATCGTAGCCAAAAAAAAACGACTTTGTTAACAACAACGATGTCAGATTCAAAAGATGGAACCATTGTTACTGGTATCGATGAGAAATTTGTTGAAGATAAAGAATTTGAAAAGAAATTAGTACGAAGGATGGACTTTAGAATTATGCCTTTATTAATTTTGTTATATTTCTTAAGTTTCTTGGACAGGTAAAAATGAAACAACGAAATTTTTTACAAATAATCCATGTAAAAAACATCAACGTCCCTGCTAATTTTTAAATTTTTATCAGAGTAAACATTGGAAATGCGAAATTGTCAAATATGGAAAAGGATCTTGGATTGGTCGGATCTGAATTTAATTGGTGTCTAAGCGTTTTCTTTATGTAAGTAAACTACGGGTGCAAAATTTAAAAATATGTCACATGATGTAAAATTGGCTAATAAAAAAAATAATAATATAAATTCTTTTCTGTAGAGGATATATTATATTTGAAGTTCCTTCGAATATAGCACTTATCAAGACAAGTGCATTTTTGTGGAGTAATAAATATTTTATTATTTCATTAAATCATCTTTGAAAAAAATTTTCTTAATCTCATTTCGTATTTTAGTTTCTTTTATAATGTTTTCGTGGGGAGTTATAGTAACTCTCATGGCATTTGTAAGTTTCAAATACTAACGAACGCTAGGAAAATAAATTAATTGTTAAATTTTAAAATCCAAATTATAAATTTTATTTTAGGTAAAAAATTTTGAGGGATTAATATCGGCAAGATTTTTTTTGGGAGCCTGTGAGGCGGGCTTATCTCCAGGCGCGGTTTATTATTTAGCCACGTGGTACAAACGATCAGAACAAAATGCCCGTATAGCTTATTTATCTATTGGAAATAGCTTTGCTGGTTCCTTTAGCGGTTTATTAGCATTTTCTCTTATACAATTAGAAGGAAAACTTAACCTAGAAGGATGGCAGTGGGTACTTATTATCATATATTGTCAGAACTGTTTATTTTTATCGCGGTATTTACTGATAAGATCTTTTAACAGTTATTTTTAGTTGAAGGATTAATAACGGTTGTTGTCGCTATATGTGCTTATTTCTTTATTTCTGATTGCCCTGAAAAATCCAGATGGCTTACTGATAAAGAGCGTAAATATGCTACTGAACGATTAAAACATGATATAGGAAAAGCTCATATATTACATTATGATAGAGCGCACATTTACGCCGCATTCACAGATTATGTAAAGTTTCATTCCTTAAATTAATATTTGTAAGTGACATTCTCTTTTTAATTAATTAATTATTTATTTTTAGAAAGTTTATTTGGCTATGATACAACTATTTGTAGCTTCGATATCAGTTTCTTCTTACCAATTATTTCTTCCATCAATAGTACATGGAATGGGATTTAGTTACGGTAATTAAAAATATATACAGTCGTACCTCCATAAAAGTCACACTCTATATAAGCACATCATATGTATAGTCACACATTTTAAATTTTGGATGTTTAAATAATAAGAAAATCCCTCTACATTATCACAGGTATAGTAATACCTCTTTATAAGCACATTGCTTTAAAGTCACTAAGTGCCCAACTGTGTGACTATAAGGAGGTACGACTGTATATTTTTTATTTGAACAAAAGAATTCTCTTATTCATTCAAATAATTTTTTTTTTATTTTAAAAAAAAATCATGCTCCTCAGTCAAATCACAATTACTTTCAATGCCACCATTCTTTTGCGCTGGTGTATCGACAATAATTGTCGCAATTATTTCGGATCGTAGACGTGTTCGTGGTCCAATTATGATTTTGTCTTCAATTATTGGAATTTTGGGTTATATACTATTAATCATACCTTCATTAAGTGCCCCTGGTAAGCAAATATTTTTGAGAATTGAACATAGTTTTTTTTTTATTTGTACATAAATTTGAAAATTGAAAATTATTGTTTAGCAAAATATGTTGGAGCTTGTATTGTTGGAACGGGTTTAGTTCCTGCTGTCACGACTGCAGTCGCTTGGTAAATTCTATAATTTTTTGTCTTTTTTTTTTTGATCCTTTCTAACATGTTTTTACCTTTCTCTTTCCATCCCTATGTTCCAATTTCTTCGTTCATTTTAACAGGATAGCGAATAACATAGCAGGTCACGCGAAAAGGGGTATAGCGGCAGGAATGGTATTAATGAGTGCAAATATAGGTGGTATAATAGCATCACAAATTTATCGAGAAAAAGATTCTCCAAATTATACATTTGGTAATTCAATGGCCTTGGGATGTTTAGTTGTTGCGACTTGTATTGCAGCCTTACAATATTTTATTTATAAAACTTTAAATGAGAAAAAGAGGAAAAATCCACAATCATTTTTGCAAGGAAAAAGTGAAGAAGAAATTAGAAATTTGGGTGATCTACATCCCGATTTTATGTATATGCTATAGTTTGTAAATAATTTACTTTTATTTTTTAAAATCAGGAGATTTAATTATTTAACTGTTGAAATGTGTATGTTTTAATTAAATAATTTATATGTACATTGCGTTCTATGCATATTATAAAATCTATCATAAGGAATTAAAACTGACCTCTATGTCATGGAAAACTACCAGAATTTATAAACCTGATATCGTGGAGACGGTTAACTCCTAAGCGCAAGTGTACTTTTTTTTACTAGTTTAGTAATATAGCAAGTCAAAACTTACTCTCATTTTTTAACTTTAATAAAAGAGTTATTAATTTCCTTATTAAAACGTTTAAAAATAGTGTTTTCTCCTTGTATATTATTTTAAAGTAATACTATAGTAATACTAGACTTCGAATTTTTAGCAAATAGCAAATACAGCAAAGGAAAATTAAAACATATACATAAGAAATTATGATATTTTCGGCTTTTTTTATCATTACTGTGTTTACACCAGCTTCGACAATTACATCCACAGACCCCTCGGAGACATACTAATTATAATCATGTTAGATATTAACAAGAAAGTATTAAAAATGATATTTTGAGCTATAACTCACTTTTCCGGCAAATTAATGTTGCACTGGAATTTTACTCTCAAGTTTTTCCAAGAATTGTATTACGAGAGAAAATTCCATTGATATAGATCGTACGATCCTTCCAGGTGGAGATTGAAAGCTCACGTTTGTTTTTAACACTCGGGTATCTATAACAATAGTAAACTTTCTCCTACAATGCAATTTCAAAAAGAAAATTGAACATTAATTAAGTATCTGTTCATGATAATATTAGCTTGCTTAAATCAACAATACGAACTCGGTCTCATAAATATCATATGGCAGCTGCTTGTCAACTTCATCGTTCATTTCGACTAACTTTCTTTTTCTGCTTCCTTCATTAAGTATATGCTGTTGTGCTTGAATTTTATTTGATTTTTCAGTGATGTGGTTCTGTTTTCCGATGGTTGCGCAACTTTTTCGTAACCAGATATTTCTATAGCAATAGTACCCGTATTTTAATGTCCAATATTAAAAACGATATCAACCTGTTTGGAGAGTAAAATAGTTTACCTCATATAAGTCACTTTAATATAAGAAATACTGTGCATCAATAAACCGAATTCCGCGATATGGTCCTTCTTTGATGACATTTTTCATTGAATTGTAAAACATTCTTGACTCTAGGTAAGAATTAAAATGTAGATGTCCGTATTTGAAAAAGACATAGTTAGAATCTTCTTTAACAGCACATTTATTGAATATATATTTACCCATTAGAAGGTTTCTTAATTATATGGACAAACGCAATCGGCGTGATTTCTCTCGGCCACTTCTCAATGCCTTCGTGTTTGACATATTTAGTATGTATTATTATTATTCTAGCTATAATTAAAATTCTAAAAGTAAAGTTACTTGTTTAAACTCATTTTGAATTTGACAAAATGTTTAAATTTTAATTTTGCTATTTTTTATTAAAGTTTTAATATAATTTTGTATTTTTATAAACTTTGATATAGATTTACTATTTTCTATTTTTTTAGATTTTTAATAAAATTTTGATCTTTTATTATTTAAACAACTTGCAAAACCTTAAAATTTTATTAGTAACTTTATCCAAAAGCAAATTTATGTCATCTTTTTTAAGTTTCAATACTATGATAAACTAAATCTATTTTATATTTGTAATATAATTAATTTTATTATTTTATCTATTAATATAGATTCAATTGTAATTTTAATTTGCAATTATATATATCATAAAATTTATTATAATAATAGTGAATTTAAATGTTTAATTTGTCTCTCGTTTTTACAAGATAGTATTAATAAATATATTTAGTTCTACTAACATGATTAAAATAATTCAATAAAATACAAGTTGAAAAGAATAATGATAATATTTCTTATAATAATAATGATAAGAATAAACTAGTAAAATGCATAACATTTACATTAGAAAAATTTGCAAAAATTTTAATTACAATAATATTTAATAATAATTTAAATTTATTTAACTCTAATTTTCTAAATTTATATTAGTCAATAAATTAAAATTATTTATATTATAAAAAATTGTAAAAATAAATAAAACTATATAAATATAAAATTTGAAGTAATAAATTACAAATTTTATAATAATTAAATAAATTATTTATTTATTATTAAAATTATTAAAATTATCTTTAAAATAATTACTAAATAGTATAATTAAAACTCTATAGTTAAATTTTTTAAAAGTTTAATTTTAAATTTAATTAAAACTTTAATATAATTTATTATATTTATTATATTTAAATAAACTTTTTAAATTTACTTATTATTACAATTTGTATTATATTTAATAGTTTACTAACATATAGACACTTTGTAATAGAAAAGGAAAAAACTACCAAAAAAATTCTTTTGAGTTAATGTTAAATCTAAATTATTTTATTAAAAAAAATATTATTTAGCTTAATAAAGTAAAAAATTTTTTTGGTAGTTTTCTTTCTTTTTACTATATATTGTATAATAATATTATATGATATATGTAAATAATTATAATATCAATTGTAAATTATATGTAATCTTATTAACCAATTATATAAAAGTTTATTATAAAATTAAAATACTAAAAATATCTTTTTTATAATTTAAAAAATTCCAGAAAGCCTTTTTTACTAATTGGCTTTATATTCTTGTAATTTTTATAAAAAATCAAAGTTTTTTTTTTTTAAATAAATATAATATCTTAGAAATTTTAGTTATATAAATATTATAAAAAACAATTTTTTCTAAAACTTTCATATTTATAACTTATAGGAATATAGAAAAAAGTATAATAATTTAAATTAGAATTACTAAATCTGATATTATAAATGTCATATATAAAAACTAATAATACAAATAATAAATTTTTTAAGAATTCTAAATTGAAATAAAACTTTTTAACAGATATTATTAGTGATAACAAAAAATTTATCCTAGTTCTATTCTATTTTATATTCTAATAATTTAGATATATTTAAAAATATGTTGAAAATATACACTAGTCAAAATAGTCCAAATCGGCTAAAAATCAGATGGTTGATTTTAGGCTGATTTTGATACTATTTATGGCTAATTTGTCATATTTTCTGATTAGTACAAACAGGTGTTGATAGATGCTGATCGACTTCAATTGGACATTGCCATTCAGAACTTATATTCAACTATAAATTAACCTAAAATTAGCCTCAATTCAGCAACAATTCAGACGTCAATAGACACCGATCGACTCTAATTAGATATAGCTATTTATATTAAATTCAATCATAAATCAGCCTAAAATTGACCTTAATTTAGCATTATTTGGTATTAATTCAAAACTTAAATAACATAAATCAGCTTAAAATTGACCTTAATATAGCATCATTCAGCATCAATTCAGAACTTAAATAACTATAAATTAGCCTAAAATTGATCTCAATTTAGCATTATTCAGCATCAATTCAGAATTTAAATAACTATAAATCAGCCTAAAATTGGCCTCAATTTGATATCAATTCAGTTAAATAAGTATATAAAATTGATATATTATATTTATTAAATTTATTAAATATTATAATTTTATTAATAATAAAAACCTAATATAATTCATAAAAACATAACATAAATATTACCAAAACTCACTGATTAATTTTCTATTTAAAAAATATAAGTAAAAAATGAAAAAAATCATGTAAAATAATAAAAATATAATACATTTTCCTTTTAAAATCCCCTTAAATTGTCTTAAATATTCATTATAGTAATATTGCTATTTTCAAAAAAAAAGAATAAAAAAATCAGAAAAATCATAAAAATTCAACTTAAGTTTCATTTGATTTTGATAGTTAAAGACATGTTTCTATTATAAAAAGTAAAAAAAAATCAGAAAAATTGATTAAATTTAACTTAAGTTTTGTTTAATTTTGATATTAGAGACATGTTTCTATTATAAAAAGTAAAAAAAAAATCAGAAAAATTGACTAAAATTCAACTTAAGTTTCATCTGATTTTGATAGTTAGAGATATATTTTTATTATAAAAAGTAAAAAAATCACAAAAATTCAACCTAAGTTTTGTTCAATTTTAATGGTTAAAGGCATGTTTCTATTATAAAAAGTAAAAAAAATTCAGAAAAATTGATTAAAATTCAACTTAATTTTCATCTGATTTAATGGTTAGAGTCATATTTCTATTACAAAAAGTAAAAAAAAAAATCAGAAAAATTGACTAAAATTCAACTTAATTTTCATTTGATTTGATAGTTAAAGGTATATTTCTATTATAAAAAGTAAAAAAAAATCAGAAAAATTGACTAAAAATTAACTTAAGTTTTGTTTAATTTTAATAGTTAGAGGCATATTTCTATTATAAAAAGTAAAAAAAATCACAAAATTCAACTTAAGTTTTGTCTAATTTTAATGGTTAAAGGCATATTTTTATTATAAAAAGTAAAAAAAATCAGTTTATTTTTGAAAAGTTGATTAAAATACAGCTTTTTTTTCGTCTATTTTGATAGTTGAAGGTGAAAATTAACTAAAATTTAACTTAAGATCTTTTTGTTCTTGGAATGATTTTTTTTTCAGCGTTTTGGTAGAATGTAAAAAGAGAAAATTTAGAAATGATTGAAATTATTTTTTAAAAGTTAAAAAATTAAGCTTATTTATATAAATATTCCTATATATCAGAAATAAACTTAAATGGTACATTAAATTAATATCAAAAAATTATATATTCAATATGATTTTAGCAAATCAGTTTAATCTGAAAGTTTAGTTTGTTAAAATGATAATACTATTGTATCTTAGATATGATAAAATTATCATCCCTAAGAAACGATAAAATTATTATTCCTTAGATATAATAAAACCATTATACTTAAGGAATGATAATATAATTGTATCTTAGAAATGATAAAATCATTGTACTTAAGATATGATAAATGCATCATTCCTTAGGAATGATAAAATTATTATATCTTAAATATGATAATACCATTATTCTTAAGGAACAATAATATCTATCATACCTAAGAAACAATATAATTGTTCTAATCAGATATCAATTAGTTATAAATAAGATAGGTCAAATTTTAATATATACCAATCAGCCAATTGGCTATAAATAAAATAGGTTGAATTTTGATATATACTAATCAGCTATAAGTATGCCAATTAGCTATAAATAATATAGGTTAAATTTTAGCTAATTTTTGATAATTTGCTGAATTTAGACTAATTTTAGGCTGATTTTCACATATCTGATTTTTTTGATTTTGACTAGTGCTAATAAAATTACTTTTTAACTATTTCTTAATACAACATTAGTAAAATATAAGATTAAAAAAAAAATCATAATATACAGTTGTAAAATATCTACTCAAAGTTTATATATGAGATGCTTTCTATAAATATAGAATTATGAAATTTCATTTTATTGAAAATATAAATGGAAAAATTTATCAGAATATTTTAACTAAAATCTTTTTACTAATGTTATAAGGATTCTTAAAAGAAGATAGACATTTTAATAGAATAATGATCTTAATTATAAGACAAAATTAATAATAATTTTTCTTAAAAAAATGTCTATAAGTACTTGATTGATTATTCTATTCTTCAGATATCAATCTACAAAGAATTTATAGGCTATAATAAAGATAAAAAAAGTTAAATCAATATATAAATAAAAAAAATCAATAGATTAAATAATTTTTTGTCAATTATTCAATTTAAATAGAAAAATCTTGATTTAGATCTCATATCAAATTTATATGTAAATATGAAAAATATTTAGATGATATTATTGAAAAGAAGGGTCATATAATTAATCATTAAAATTTTATTTTCTTTATATATAATATTACATTATATGTTATTAAAATTTATATAAAAAAATTGAAAATTGATTAAAAAATTATATAGTTTAAAAATTATCATTATTTTTGTTATTACTGTAATTTTCTATAATTTCAGTTATATATTCAATAATTTGTTAATTATCTAAAAATTTTTCAACAGATAATTCTTTTAATTCTTTTGTATAATGACTAATATCATTTAAAAATAAAGTAATAGTATTAAGTAAAACTTCAAAAAATTCTTCAATTTCTCCAAATTAAATATCTAATTAACATCAATTTGAT